CCCCCGCACCTGCAAGGTCCCTTTTGGGAAACCTGCACTGGCTGGGAAGAGCACTGGCAGGCAGTTGAGTCCAGGACAATTGACTATCTTGTCATTTTCTGTTTGGGGAGCTGGCGTGCGCTGGTCAGTTTTCTCTCAGGTTACAGCCCGGGTTCTTCTGAGTACTTTTATCCCAGGTGTGTACAGTCGGTAGTCTCCTTCATCCCTTCAGCCACGTATATGTTGATGGCATGTGCTGGGCCTTGGGGGTCAGTATTTTAATTAAGGGGACCATGGGGAGGGGAGGGGTGGTATATCCTGGGCTGTGGAGTCAGACAGAATGGGGTTTAAATATCTTGCTTTTCATTTCCTAAAAATATGATCTCGTACCGGGCACTTAGGTTTTCTGAGCCTTGTCTATCAAATGGGGAGAAAGATGCCTTCCGCTCCGCATGGTTGTGCGGATTTGGAGAGCTCGGCTCTGCAGAGACGCGGAGCCGGCCGTTGTAGGCATTCACTGACTGTTGAGCCCTCCCACTCCCTGGAGATGAAACTGTGGGATGGGCTGCAGGATCCTCTACGCAGGAGAAGGGAAGAAGTCCAGGCAGCAATGAGGGTGGCGTCCGCAACGAGCAGGGCCTTCAGGAATGCAGAAATATCCTGGAAGGAGGTGGGTAAAGGCCTCCCAGGTGTGGGTGAGGCCATGAAACAAGCAAGACAGGAAACAAGGGGCAGGTTGAGACTGGGACAACCTTGAAGACGAGGGGTGTTGAGGGGCTAGTTGATGTCAAGGCGGGACTTGTTGAGGCCAGGTGGACTGGGGGAGGCCAATAGGGCTAGTTGAGGCCAGAGGAACTATTAATAGTTGAGGCCAGGGGGATTAGTTGAGGCAGGGGTGGGTGGTTGGATGGCTTTAGTTACACAGACTAGAGCAGCTCAGCTCGCCTGAGCCAACGGCAGCAGCCTTTGGGGACACGTAAGCAGTCCTCGAGCAGGCACCCAGTCATGTGTTACAGGGCAGTGATGACCGGTACTCCTTGCCATTCAGGACATGTTGGCAGCCCCAGTCATCCCGCAGCAGCTCTGTGCCCCGCAGCGGCCCCGGATCAGCTGTTCTGCATGAGACTCAGCTCCGGCACACCCGTTTCTCCCACCACTGACTTCTTCCTACTTCCCCGACCAAGTAAGTGACTCACAGTCCATGTTTCATCCGGCAGGGACTCAGGCAGACAGTGACAAGCTGCTCATGTGTTTAGGAAGGTCAAGAATAGGGTGAGGCAAGCGAGACACCCTGATGCAAAAGGTAAGGGGCAGGCCCTCCCAGGTGCCCACCTGAACCCACCATCTTGAATGTAGCACCCTGGTGCTTCACTAGCATCACCCTCGCCCCGGCCTGCAGGGCTGGTAGGGGAAGGCTCACTGGATGCCAGGGGGAGGTGAATGACTGTGAACGACAGGCAGCAACAATGCTCTGCAGCCCAGGCAGGGGGCATGGGAAGGAGTGGGAAGGGGCAGAGGGGCAGACGCCAGAGGCCGTCCTTCGCATCATGTGGAATTGTGTTTTAGTGCATGGGATGTAAATTGAATTTTCATGCCTAATTTTGAGCCTATCCCTAGAAATTGTCTTGCTTTGGTTATTTTAAAATAGTGTTCAGTTTAGGTAGTGGCTAAGAGCCCAGACTCTGGAGTTGGAGTCCTAAATGTGTCAAGAACATGCCAGGCTGCAGGCGAGGCTGTGAGGACCGTAAGGAATAAGGCAAAACCCCAGGCTTCGAGGAGAAGCAAATACACAGGCTAGTCGTTATATTGTCACGTGGTAAAGGGCATGAGGACAGAAGACCCTTGCAATGAATTTCCTTCAAGTGTCAGCTACGAAAATGTATTATGATTCAGTATTTAGGATGATCATTACCATGGTGGTAAGGATCTTGGGCTCTGGGGTCAGACTGCTTGGGTTTAGCTCCAAGCCCTACCGCTGATCCCACTGTATGACCATGGCTAAGGACTTAAGCTTACACTGACTCAGTTTCTCCATCTTTAAAAAAGAGACAATAATGACATCAACTTCCCATGCATCCTGGTTTCTTTTATCTGATGTTCACATTTAACTGGGCATCCAGTTTTACCTGGTAACCCTAACACTACTCCACCTCCCCGAGGATCCAGGTGAAGGCTCTCTCCCTCCACAGCTGGAGGACAACCGGGCTCCCACAGCTGGAAGGAAGCACCGCATCTTTGAATCTATAAGGCCCAAGCCTGCAGCAAGCAGAGAGCAGGATAGTAAATAACACCAAGAGCAGGCTGGACTGTAAGCTCTGGCTTCCCATCAAAAACAACGAAGTGGAAGCTAAGGGAGTATTCATTTTAGGGCAGAATTTTTAAACAGACAAAAACTTAGTGAGGTCAATATCCCCTGTCAATGATTCACTTAACTCATAAGTTACCTAAAGTTAGTTTCCTATTAGCTGCATGACTTTGGACACGTTATTTAACATCTCAAGGGAGAGGTTAAATTAATTCTGTCTTCAGCCATGCTAACTGCCTTTAAAAATAAACAGTCAGTACTCTTCAGAGGAACCTAATGGAGTGGAGGACCTACAATTTATTGTTCACAATATCCAGGATACAGTATCTTTTACAATTCCAGAATGCAATCCAAAATTGCTTAACATAAAAAGAATCTGTATAGGGCTGGCCGAGTGGCGCGATGGTTAAGAACTGGCTTGGGATGCCACAGGGCCCCGGTTTGGATCCCACATATGAGGGCCAGTGACACTACCCTCCACAGCTAAAGATGCTGAACAACAGCTCAACCTGGAGCTGGGCTGCTGTCAATCGCCGGCGATGGCGTAGGCTGCAGCGCCTGTGGCAGTGGGTTGCCATGGACTACCGTGTGTAGCCAGCAGCCAATGTGAGCGGCCAGCAGACGCAGTGAGCAGCCGTCCAGAAGCCGGCGACTGATCTGCCTCGCCCGGGAAGAGCGCAATGATGGTGCCAACTTGGGCCAGTGAAGCAACATCCTCCACAACTAGACTGGAGAACAAAAGGACAGCAACTTGTCTGTTCCCCTTCCCCCAATTCCCCAGCACTGTTCCCATCCCCCCAAATCCCCAATAAAATTCTTAAAAAAAAAAGAATCTGTATAACGTGACCCATCATAAGAGAAAAGATAAGCAACAGAGATCAAGCCATTCTAGACATTGGAATTACCAGACAAAACTGTTACAGCCACTATTATAACTACACCCAAGGACATAAAGAAAAATACTCCTGAAATAAAAAGATAATCTCAGCAGTGGAACAGACATTTAAAAAACTCAACCCAGAATTCTTATTCCAGTGAAAATACTCTTCAAGAATGAAGCTGAAATAAAGACATTTTCAGATAAAACAAAAGTGAGAGAATTTGCTTCCATCAGATCTACTACAAAAAATGTTAAAGGAATTTCTTTAGGCTGATGGGATATGATAATAGGTAGAAACGCAGCTCTTTAGGAAGAAATGAAAAGCATTGGAAATGGTAAATATATAGATAAATGTAAAAGACTCTTTTCCTCCTAATTTTAAAATGTGATTATATAAAGCAATATTATAACATTTTACTGTAGGTTTTATAATTTATGTAGATGTAATACTTATGACAAGTGTAGCATAAGGATAGACAAGGGTGGGAAATGAAGCTGTTTGATTAGAAGGTTTATACATTTTACATGAAGTGGGACAATATTAACTCTAAATAGACTGCGCTGTGTTTAAAAAAAATGTATATGTTAATCTCTAGAGCAACCATTGAAGAAGGGAATTCTTAAGGAGCTGTGCTTCTTCTAGTAGTGTCTGATTCCACATCCATTTTCCTGCACTTGCCTGGTCTTTTGATGCTTTTCTGTCTTGTGCTGGTCCCTGCCCCAATTCCTTCACTCCACAAAATATCACCAATGAAAGTCCATCACCAGTGAAAATCGGAGCAATGGATCATTACCACAGAATATCACAGCCACAACTTACAAATAACTAGATGGCTTTGTTCTTAAAATTCTTCAATCACCTGGCCACCAGAAACTTCTCTCTGATGTTCTTTCTCTGGGGCCTACTGGCCCTGCCTCTGCTGAGAACCCTTCACAATTTTATCACTTTGTCCTACTGGGCAACGTGGTTCTCTGTCTCATTCAAACCATCCTGGCCATGCCTGCTTTGGGGGTCACCATTGTACAACAGCCATGACCTTACAAGATGTTCTGCTACAAAAAGATAGTTTTCTCCCCCAAAATTCCACTACCAGCTTTTCAACCACTTTTTTTCTCACTTCTCCATGCCTTTGAGCTGTCTCCTGCCTCCCTTGTCTGTTAAACACAGCAATGAGCTCCCACCCAAACTTGCATCAACCATTTATCTAAGTTCTGAGCCAAACAAGTGCCTTAGAGACATGAAAACCCACCTCCGATGGCCATTGTACTGCATTCCCCACTGGGGTCACCCCCACTCCCTGTGTGGTTGGTTTATTTGTTCATCCAAAATATAAATGTATTAAGCCTATCTGGATGCTAGACACACAGTGCTTGTCATAATATTACATACATAACTCTCCCTAAGAAGGGTTTTTCAGAAGGCCGCTAAGAGAATAAAAAATATTGTCCCCATATCATCTCCTCATTACTGATAAACAGTGGGCCACCATAAGGCCACCTTAAGAAATCCAAGTCAGATATGAAAAAATGCTCAATGTCACTAATCAGAGAATTGCAAATTAAAACCACAATGACATGTCACTTCAAACCTGTCAGAATGGCTGTCATCAATAAATCAACAAACAACAAGTGTTAGCAAGGATGTGGAGAAAATGGAACACTTGTGCACTGTTGGTGGGATTGCAAATTGGTGCAGCTGCTATGGATAACAGTATGAAAGTTCCTCAAAAAATTAAAACTAGAACTACCTTATGAGCCAGTAATCTCACTTCTGGGTATTTATCCGAAGAATTCCAAAACAATAATTTGAAGAAATATATGCATCCCTATGTTCACTGCAGCATTATTTACAATAGCCAAGCTATGGAAGCAACCTAAATGTCCATTGATAGACGATTGGATAAAAAAGAGGTGGTACATATGTACAATGGAATATTACTCAGCCATAAAAAGAATGAAATCTTACCATTTGCAACAATATGGATGCACCTAGAAGGTATTATGCGATGTGAAATAAATCAGAGAAAAACAAGTACCATATGATTTCCCTTATATATGAAATCTAAAAGACAAAATAAATGAATAAACAAAACAGAGGCAAACTCATAAATACAGAGATCTGATGATTACCAGATGGGAAGGGGGTTGGGGGACATATAAAGATGTCTAATCTAGCCAAATTACTGGGTTACTTTATATATATATATTTGGAATAGTAACAACCTATCCCCTTCCATCTTCCTTAGGAGGAAAGACTTTGTTGGTTCCATTGAAGAAACTGATAGAGGTGAAAAAGGTGAAGGGGTTAAGAAGTACAAATTGGTAGTTACAAAATACTCATGGGGATGTAAAGTAAAACATAGGGAATATAGTCAATGATATGGTAATAAAAATTAAAAAAAAAAGAAATCCAATTCTGACTGTAAAAGCTTTGCTCCAGTCATCTATTGTTACACAACAAACCACCCCCAAACTTAGTGACTTAAAACAATGGTGACACTTATTTTGCTTGCAGGTCTGCACCTGGGGCAGGGGTTGGCCCACATCCACTTACCATCACTGGGTGGGCTTGAAGGCTGGGGACAGGACTATCAGAGGGTTCATTCATTCCCAGGTCTGGTGGTTCAATGCCGGCTGTCAGCTGGGACAACACCTGTGGCCTGACCTCTGGAGTCACACAGAATCACATCTGTGGCATTCTATTTGACATAAGCCCACACTCCAGGGGAAGAGAAGTGGGCTCCACCTTTTGATGGGAGACGTACGTGTCAAAGAACTTGCAGACAAGTTTTAAAACCCCATAGCCTTGAGGAGAAGTGTCAATCATAACCCGTGAGTGGCAAGGACAGGAGTCACACCACAGCGTCCACACGTGGCTTCTTTAAAATCCTCGTCGTTTCTCTGCCCAAAACCACACGTCCACACTGTGTGGCAGCGTGCTGCTCCTCTACGCTTCTCTGTCTCCCTCCCTCCCCTCCCCATGCACCTCTACACTCATTCACCCTCACTTTCCTCTCTCTGTCCTAGCTCATGCAATCCCTTTTTTATCAAGGTAAATTTAGGTTTTCACGTTTTCCCTTTCCCCGTGGTCCAGCTCCATCAATTTCCTCAGTGGAACCAACAAACTGTTTCCTCCTAAGGAAGGTGGGAGGGGATAGGTTGTTACTCTTTAATATTTTCATGTATATGTGTGTACATGTATGTATGTATGTGTGTGTATATGCATGTATATATATGCAAATTAACTCAGAAATTTGGATAGACTAAACATCTTTGTATATATGTAGCCCATGAATATAAATAGATGTGCCTGAATGAATAGGAAACAGGGCATGCTCAAGGGAGACCTTAATGAAGAGACTATTTACAGAGGTACAGGCAGAGTTATAAAAACTACCCAAGGATATTGAGGTACCCAGGGACTAGCAACAGCAAGAAGCCATCACCTAGATCTGAAGCAGGAGTAGCGGGGTGTTACCCCAGGCAATGAGAGCTGGGGTCAAGAATAGGGGCCCCTGTACTGGATTGTGATTTTTCTCACTAAAGAAAAGAGAGAAAAAAAAAAGAAAAGAATAGGGGCCCTTGCCAGAAGCTGCCGCCATAAAAGAAACCAAGAACAGTAAGGAGGCAAGAAAGATGTGGGTTAGTTGCCCTGATTTCCCACTGCTCCTGCCCTTTTATACCCAGCTGGTTCTTTCCGTTGGCCAAACCCAACCAGAGGCCAGGGGGCAAGGGAGCCCGGGAAGTGATACTGTCCATAGGGGTCAGCCGCCACACAAGGATACGCTGAGAAGGGCAAAGGAGGGTTTGCAAATGGAGAAAAAATAGCACAACTTGTTACAGAAATGAATAAGATCACCCTTTGATGGCGACTCTTTCAAACTGTACCAACATTGGGAGTAAGAGATGTTGGAGGGACCACATGTCCAAACGATTAAGAAAAACAGACATTGACAGCAACTGGCGTGACAGCCATTTTTAATTGCATGAGCTAATGAAGTAGGATTCCTGGCATGACTTACTCCAAAGTCATTTATATTTGGCTTAGAAAGCAGAATGGCTTTTATAGCAGATTTTTCTAATTATGTTTTGCTTATGTTAATATGAGGATTTGATGCCTCAAGTAAACACCACCTGATCACAAAGCAGGACGGCTTGGAAGTACACTCAGCACCAGGTGGGAGCCAGGCTGGGGCTCTGCCATTTGCTGCAGATGATGCAGAAGGAGATGGAAGTTTTTGCTTTGGTTTCATGGGGGCTGCTTTCCAACTGGTTTGTAAAGGCATAAAGGGCAGCTACTGTATCTCATGCTTCTTTTAGATTTCTCAAAAATAAAAACCCTCAAACTTTGCTATGCGTAAGCATTGCCTGCAGAATGCATGAGAGTGCCCATACCGCTGGAGTAATGCATCCTCCTGGTCTGGGTGGTGCCTAGGAAGCTGAATTTCGACAAGCATCCCAGATTTTTCTGATGCCGGAGGTCAGGGCATCACATATGGGGAAATGTTCAAAAGGCTGGACACACATTCACACACAAAGGAGGCAAAATAGTGTAATAGATAGAGTAGGTAAATGCTTTCAGGTCAGAGCTGGGTTCAAATGACAACTTCACAGGTGAGGCCAGTTACCTTCTCTGACTGTCATTTGCAAGAAGGGTCAAAATGCACGTAAGAGTACACTTGGAGGTAATAACTGAAGAGTGAAAACCATGATTAATACATAGCCGCACTCGCTATTTGTATCCAGACGCTTCTTGAGCGAGCCTTTCTCAGGATGAGAGGGCTCGGGGAGTCCTACCTTCAAAAGCCCATGAGGACGGCACCTGCAAGACATGGGGCTCTGATGCCCAGCGCTGGACCCTGCACTCACGGAGCGCCATCCTGAGAAACTGGATCTCAGACATTTCAGCATTTCTGAGGCTCCCTCTTTCCTTGTTTCCACTCAAGAAATTATTATTCATCCTGCAGCATACGGAAAACAGGTTTCTTACCCATTCTCTCTTGCCATTGGCATCATACCATCAACAGTATGGTATTAATAAAAAATATTAAAACTAGCCATCTTAAATTTTTTATTCTGGTTCATAATGTAGCGTAATGAGAAGGGAAATCTTTCACACAGCCCCAGTGGTGCAGAAACATTTAGAAATGATTCTAAATATAGACTCCCAGATGACAGAGGGGTTGCTTTATGTCATTCTGTGATTTCTTTTTCACACCATGTTCTATGTGCTGGAATAAAAATGTTTAGTGAAGTCAGAATGCTAAATTTAAGCAAACCTTAGCTCTCTGTTCATAGCAAAATGCATTTGTTACTTTTAATTGGCTGTGCATCAGACCCCCAAGCAGCAAAACAAAAATCAGACTTCATAATGCAGCAGTCTTGACTATGCCCAGAATCTAACTACCACTCTGGTCTTTCCTAATCGTCTATTCAACCAGCTTTCATTGAATACATGTAAAAAGAGTTTGCAATTGCTCCTCTTACATCATCCTAATTGGACATGAGTATGTGATAACATGCGACTTGAGGGGTATTTTACATAATATAATGAAATATCCTAGATGATATATAACATGCCTCCAATATTTTGGTCAATAAATAGCCTATGAATACTGCTTGTTATGGGGAATAAATTTGAATTGCAAACTGTTCCAAGCAAACCATTGAAAACAGTTTCTTGAAACTTACGTACAAAGTCTATAGTAACCTGTCAGTGACTATAAAATCTGAACTAGGTATCTGTAGAACCACCCAAGGAGCCCTGCTTAGAAATGCAGGTTCTGGGGCCACCCACAGAGTCTAATTCAGTAGCTCTGAGGGTGGGGGCGAGGTGAAGCCTGGGGCAGGCAGTTTAAAGAACTCCCCAGGCCACGCTGATGTAGCTAGTTGGGGACGAAGAAGTAGTCTGTTTTTCCCTGGAGGTTCCTCCCTCACTTGTACCTGCCCATCCGTTCACCTGTGAGCAGACACCCTACGCAGACATCCTCTTAGCACCGGCTGACAGGCAGGTGTGTATCTGGGATTAAGACATGTTGTTTGAGCTTCTAAACTTCTCTTGGCCTGACCACATGACTACCTAATCACAAACAAAGTAAATTCATGAAAATCCAGCAGGTTAGTTACCTATCTCAGGAATTGCTCAGAGAAGGTCTAACACTGGATGATTTTTTGGGCCAAATAACAGTGCACTGTCATATGTATTCTTTACTTGATCCTCACTACACCAATGGTGGGGTCTTATCTTATAGAGGGAGAAACTGAGGTTCAGGGAAGCCGGGGCACTTAGCAAAAGTCACACAAGTAAGGTGGAGAACCGTGTCTTGGAGCTGTGTCTCGTTTTCAAAGCCGTTCTTTCCAACAACTTATCAAGAGTTTGGTTTGGCTGGGGCCGGCCGAGTGGCGCGATGGTTAAGAACTGGCTTGGGACGCCAGAGGGCCCCGGTTCGGATCCCACATATGAGGGCCAGTGACACTGCCCTCCACAGCTAAGATGCTGAACAACAGCTCAACCTGGAGCTGGGCTGCCATGAGTCGCCGGCGACGGCGTGGGCTGCAGTCCCTGTGGCAGTGGATTGCCATGGGCTACCGTGTGTGGCCAGCAGCCAGCAGCCGCAGTGAGCGGCCGTCCAGAAGCCGGCGACTGATCTGCCTCGCCAGAGAAGAGCGCAATGATGGTGCCAACTTGGGCCAGTGAAGCAGCGTCCTCCACAACTAGATTGAAGAACAAAACGACAGCAACTTGTCTGTTCCCCTTTCCCCAATTCCCCAGCACTGTTCCCATCCCCCCAAGTCCCCAATAAAAATCTTTAAAAAAAAAAAGAGTTTGGTTTGGCTGTATTGCCAGGATATGTGGAAGTGAGGTAAGCCTTTTACACTAAAAAAAATTAAATAGTTACCTCTCAGAATTAATTTTCTGTACAAGAGGAGACTACTTTCGTATTCATAGAATAGCAGCTACACAGGAAATGATTAAAATTCTAAGAAAAGTCTCCTTCAGTTTCAATCTTCAGACCTTTTACAATGCTTCCATCTTATGGTTAAGTGTGAAAATGGAAACGTAAGTTGACTTCTGACTTGCCCCTTGTTCTCAAAACCTCCATCTCCACCCAAGGCCAGCCTGACTTGGCTCCCTGGAGCTGGGCGGGGCATTGTGGGACCTGTTTCCTCCCAGGATCAGAAACCAGATTTTCACAAACCTAATTCTAAAACGTTCAAACCTGACGTTTGTAGTTTGGATGGTTTTGTAGTTTGGATGGACTGTTCAGAGTGCCAAAACAAAATACCACACCGTTCAGTTTCTGGCGAGAGCCCACTTCCTGGTTCACAGACGTTCATTTTTCTTCGTTGTCTTCACAATGGCAGAGTGAGAATGAAAGAGACTTCTCTCTTCCACTTCCTTTTTTTTTTTTTTCAAAGATTTTATTGGGGATTTGGGGAAGGGGATCAGCCAAATTGTTGTCCTTAAATCTTAGTTGTGGAGGGCACAGCTAGCTCAGCTCCAAGTCCAGTTGCCATCCGGCCGCCCTTCAGCAGCTCAGGGCAGCTCACCTCAAGGTTCCGTGTTCAATCTTAGTTGCGGGTGGGCATAGCCCACCGTCCCATGCAGGAGTCAAACCGGCAACCTTGTTGTTACAAGCACGTGCTCTCACCAGCTGAGCCATCCTGCCACTTGTTGCCAGCTCAGCAGCAGCTCAGCTTGGGCGAAGCTCACTGGCCCATGTGAGAATCGAACCAATGATCCTGTTGCTCAGAGTTCGCACTCTTAACCAACTGAGCTACTTGGCCGGCCCCTCTCTTCCTTTTCTTAGGAAGGGATACCAGCCATCCTGTCAGATTAGGCCCCACCCCTATGGCCTCATTTATGTTATCTCCTGAAAGCCTTATCTCTAAGTACAGTCACATTGGGGGTTAGAGCTTCAGCGTGTGAATTGGGGAATGGGGTGGGGGACACAATTCAGGCCATAGCAAATAGGTTCAGTAACTTTCCAGGAAAGCAGCTTTGGAAAGATGGAAATGGACAGCTTTCCTAACTGAAGACAGAAAGCTCTGTCTCATTAGGTACCCTTCCAATCCTTTTATAGAGAAATGGATGGTGTATCAGAAAGTCAACTTGTGACATTACCAGCCTTTGGGCGGGGGCGCCTCAAAGATACTGTGGCTGGTGAACCTGATTCCATAGTGTCTCAAACAGAATTACATGCAAATCTGTCTGTATATGTACACTTCTTGGGAGGCATGCTTTAGCCACAATGGCTTCCCTGATGGGTTTTGGACAAATCAGGCAAGCTCTGGCCTTAGGGGTGCCTTAGGCTGTGCTCCTAAAAGCAAAGCCTGAGGTTGGGATTCTTGAGCAAGTGATTTATTGGGGAAATGCTCTTGATCAGGGCATCAGGCTAGGTGTTGAGGGAGGTGGGATAGGTCAGAGGAGGAAGCAGGGCCTAACTATAGTTTTAGGAGACATCTTGCCTCAGTCTGTCCCATGGGGGGCTCTGGAATGTACATCACATCACGGAGGGTGTCCCGTTCAGACACAAGGGCACAGGGCACTTTTGCCCACTTCCCTCAGTCATTGGCCACCTCCCAGGCATCTCTCTGCAGGGAGGCAGCTCCAGTGAGCCAAGGGCAATCCACCAGAGAAAGGGGATAGGTGTGAGCCTTCAGCAGCCAACACCCACTACAACAGGGAGCAGACACCCTGGCTGCTGCACAGGACTGGGTGGCTCCCACTGCACCTGCTGCAGAGCCGGCTGCAGCCGACCCCTCTACCTGCATGCCCTTCCCCCAGATAGCCTCTTAGTTAACTCCCTCGCCTCGCTCAGGTCTCACCCAGCCTGCCACCCTACTGTTGTGCAGGCTGAACCTCGCCCCTCACCAGCACCCTTGTTCTGCTCCACTTTTCTCTTTTGTCCATAGTTCTCATCTCCTGCAGACAAACAATTTACTTCTTTAGCAATTCAGCTTTTTTATGGGATAACTCTCCCATTAGAATGGAAGCTCTTTAAGGATGGAGGTACTGGTCTGGCCTTAGCACCTAGAATAGAGCCTGGCATAAACTAGGCAATTCGTTAATGCTTGTTGAATTATTAATTAAGTCTCAAAGCAGTCCTGACCCACAGAAGGGAGGAGGCCAAGACCCTAAAGCAAAGATCACCATCTTTTCTTTTTATAAGAGCGCTAGCCAACCCATTAGGCTGTCTTGGGGCCTATTGGAGAGATACCAACACTTCCAGGAACACATGGATAATATTGTTTTGGGGGCCAAAGGAGTGCAAAGTTGCCACTGTGCTCTGTGTGGCTGCTCAAAGCTGTCCCGCCCAATCCAGCTGCTGTCCCGCCCAATCCAGCTGCTGTCCCGCCCAATCCAGCTGCTGTCCTGCCCAATCCAGCTGCTGTCCTGCCCAATCCAGCTGCTGTCCTGAGGACTCATTAGGCTTCCACCTGCCCTTCTAAAATAACTTTGTCTTCACTCTCTCTCGGAAGTCTCATCTGGGACCATTCCAATGATGATACCTTAGTTAGCAGAACTTTTCTTCCAAAAATAGGGAAAGATATTTTCATGCAAAGATATGGAAATACTCAGATGTGACAATGCTTCGTAAACACCAAGTGAGGAATTTTCACAAATTCCTTAGAGGATGGTTACTAATGTGAAGCTGAGTGACTGAGTCAATATCCACACCTCATTTGTCTTACAAAGAAGGTATCTTAAACAAATCCTGAAAAAGAAAAACAATTTTTTTTAATCATTTCTTCCTAGCTTTCCCCTCAAACAATTCACAGGGAACTGTTTAGTCCTTGCCTAGACAAAATTGTCAAAGGATTAAGACAGACATCACTCAAAAGTGAAT